ACAAGTCTGATAAAGATATCTTATCCATTGCCTTTCTAATAAATTTTTTAAATTGTAAAAAGACTTTATAGACACCCTGTATAATTTTAACGTAGAAAGTTTATCAACGAAGTATCTATGTTACTTTCGTCGTAATTACTATTAAACTGGATCATTCACTAGGGTATAGCATGTTCCTTCTCGTGGGAAAGATTTCTGTGTAGTTGAACGTATTGCATAGAAGTAGATAACGACCTTTTTTGCACTGATGGGTCAAGAGATGCCTCAACGATACAAACTCGCCTTTTCTTTCAATAGTAGTGACAAACAGGTAGCACACATGCTATTGGAAGTAATAGCGTTATTATTCTGTGTATATAATGCCATGTCTTCTCAGTTCGCAACATATATTTCTTAAAAACTCAGAGCCTCCAGTCATAAATACACTCATTTTTCCCTTTTGATTATGTTTGAAAGGTAAATAAAGACTGTTCTACTTTGTATCCAGTCCCTTTCTTTCCTAAGCTCATTAAAAGTTAGAGAATTCAGATTAACTCCCGCAAAAGATTTTCTGTCAAACCTCCAGTTATTCTGCAAATATCAGAAATGGGCAGAACCATCCGCATTACCTAGTACGACATATTGAAACGCGATTTCCTAAAGTTATGATTTATAATTTTAACGTTATGTTAATTAACACGAGTGTATCATCAAATGAAACACATTTTCGTCTTATATTTTACAATGAATGGATTTACTTATTTCCATTATTTTCCGTCTTATATTTTACAATGAATGGATTTACTTATTTCCATTATTTTCCGTCTTATATTTTACAATGAATGGATTTACTTATTTCCATTATTTTCCGTCTTATATTTTACAATGAATGGATTTACTTATTTCCATTATTTTCCGTCTTATATTTTACAATGAATGGATTTACTTATTTCCATTGATCCTTAGAATTTTTTTAAACTAACCGCCCGATGATTTTTCCGCCCAAAAGACACCCATACTGTAAAAAGGAAAAAAAGGATTTATTTTTATTTTCTGTTCTCCTTTGTATTTAACATTATACCATATAACGTAAGAATCACTCTTAATTTTTCTGAAATAATATACATATATGTTTCATTGGAATTTAGAATAAGAAAAATATCATATTAAACACCAATAAAATAAGCATGTTTGTCTCCGGGTTAGAATTGTTGCCCCCTCTATAATATGATTATTAATGTATAGTTTTGCCAAGAGATGTCACCAGCATTCATATCTTGATGCTAAAGATCACTTTTAAAACTATTTGACGTTGTTACTCCATCCCATTATTTTCCCTCGTTGTTTCCTCATTATTATTTTATCAGATAATGGTTTATACGTTTTTATTGCCTTTCTATTTTTCTATATTTGTTTAATTAAATACTTTTGTAATTACCATTATCACGCTGAGCTTACGTTGCACTGTGCGGTTCCTTTTACTGTAATTATTCATTGCCTTCATTGCTCTATAGCGCGAGTTATTTTAACTCGTCCCCTCCCCCTCATTCGTATACTTGTTTATCTCTAGTGGGTATTTTTAAATAATGACGTCTGTCGTTTGAACATATATGTGTACATTAGAGTTATTAGGGTGTTAACATATCTGGTTGTAACAAAAGAGGCTCTCACTACTAGGGTGTTAAAATATCTGGCTGTAACAAGAGAGACTCTCACTAATAGGGTGTTAAAATATCTGGCTGTAACAAGAGAGGCTCTCACTACTAGGGTGTTAAAATATCTGGCTATAACAAAAGAGGCTCTCACTACTAGGGTGTTAAAATATCTGGCTATAACAAAAGAGGCTCTCACTACTAGGGTGTTAAAATATCTGGCTGCAAGAAGAGAGGTTCTCACTACTAGGGTGTTAAAATATCTGGCTGTACCAAGAGAGGCTCTCACTAATAGGGTGTTAAAATATCTGGCTGTAACAAGAGAGGCTCTCACTAATAGGGTGTTAAAATATCTGGCAGTAACAAGAGAGGCTCTCACTACTAGGGTGTTAAAATATCTGGCAGTAACAAGAGAGGCTCTCACTACTAGGGTGTTAAAATATCTGGCTGTAACAAGACGGGTTCTCACTACTAGGGTGTTAAAAGATCTGGCTGTAACAAGAGGGTTTCTCACTACTAGGGTGTTAAAATATCTGGCTGTGACACGAGAGGTTCTCACTACTAGGGTGTTAAAATATCTGGATGTAACACAAAAGGCTATCACTACTAGGGTGTTAAAACATTTGGCTGTAACAAGAGAGGCTCTCACTACTAGGGTGTTAAAATATCTGGCTGCAAGAAGAGAGGTTATCACTAATAGGGTGTTAAAATATCTGGCTGTAACAAGAGACGCTCTCACTACTAGGGTGTTAAAATATCTGGCTGTACCAAGAGAGGCTGTCACTACTAGAGTGTTAAAATACCTGGCTGTAACAACAGAGGTCACACTACTAGGGTGTTAAGACATCTGGCTGTAACAAGAGAGGCTCTTACTACTAGGGTGTTGAACTTAATCACAGGAAACGTTATGGATTTTAATTCAGTACCAGCTCTGACAGAAACACCAGCTTCATTCATGAGTTGCTTAGCTTTTGTCTCCGGGCTGGATGTGACTTAGCAGATAAAGTTTCCGGACTATGAATCCAAGGGTCCATGGTTCGCAAAACGTTGTCTCATTAAAGCGTTCCTAACTTTTGGACCGTGGTTGAGTTATAAGAGTAACTGTCAAATTCCTCTATTTGGTCAGACAAAAAGTAGTCCAAGAGTTATTGTATATAAGGGCTTATTATGAAGCTTTGATTGGATGTTTGGTGTAACGTTGTGAGTTGATGTCATAAGAATGCTCTCGTCTTAAAAGACTTGTTATGGGTTTGTTTTCCTAATAGGTGTTATTGTTGTTGTGTTGTAAGCTGTTGTATCTAATGGCTTATTATGAAGCTTTGATTGGATGTTTCTTAAGGGTCTTACTGGGCTGTTGCGATTTGGTGTTTCTGTTTATGCATCACTAACCTTCAATATTAAAGATTTATTGCGTTATATTCTCAATGGTCGTGGGTAGTTTGGTTGACTTTTAGATTTTTTTTTATTTAAAGATAAATGTAAAATCTATTTGGTATCTAAAGTTGTTAAGGCTTTTTTTTATTCGAGTGTCTTTGAGCTATTCAGGATCTCAAACGTTTTGTTCAGTTTTTAGGAATATTTGAGAAAATCTAAACAAGGGCTATCTGCGCTAACCGTCTGATAGACCAGATGGAAGGCAGCTACTCGACAGCACCCATCGCCAGCTTACAACACAACAACAATAACACCTATTTGGAAAACAAACCCATAAAAAGACTCTTAAGACGAGAGCATTCTTATGACATCAACTTACAACGTTACAACAAACGCTCTTAAAACACAAATGATCTCAGTTCTACAAGAAGATACTTAAGAAACACGAACTCGTGGGTCAAAAATAATCTTACTGGGACTAACTCATATCGTATTTAACTACATTGTTTTGTATAGAATTTATATACAACTCTATGGAGTCATGTGAACTGTGATTATTTTGTTTGATCCCTGCAGGAAAGGAAATGGGTTTTAGGAACTAGGTACACGTTTAGAAGGGGCAATGGGGTGATAGGTATAAAAAAGCAAATAGAAAAGTTAGGCGGTTCTTATTTTATATTCTAGCTTGTTAATATCGATAATTCGAGTCCCTAATTCTTAAGAAACTATAGACTTTGTATTTGGACATCACAAACATCTAATTTGAACCAATGCTGTATTAAACATACCACGTGACACACAAAAATCGATATTTAGGTGTTCTTATAATATTTACTTTTAAATTGACAAAGAAACGAATGTATAATACTAACATTTGAATTATAATCTACAGTTTGATACCAAACTTACTGACATAAATTCATAAAATAGTAGTTCAATAAAATTTTGAATGTAAGCCAACAAACGGGATGACATGGCCTTTGACCTGTGACGATAGGGTTAATAAACATCTCACGTTTATTTATCTATAAAAAGAAAATAAAAGGAATCAATGCTGAAGCCTGTGTTGATCTAAAATCCTCCAACCGGCCAGGGAAGGCAGCTAGTCCCACCGCCAACTCTTGAGCTAACTTGACTAACTCTTGACCGTCACATTATAGGGCCCTCACGATTGAAAGAGAGATTATTATTCGTTAATAGGGACCCAGTTGTAGAAATGGGGTTATACACCGTGTACCTAGTTCTCAGTTTGTATTTTGTGGTTAAGTTTAGTACCACTGAATTTTATGATTTCTGAGAATGTTTAAAAGATAGCTTAATATTAGCTTGTAATCAGAGCAAACTATGTAGTTAGAGCGAAATCAAAATTCAACCTGGCAATCAGTATAGGTAATTAAATATACTTTTCTTACGTTTGTATTTATAAAGACTATAACACTTTGTTTCATTATGTAGGTACACTCGCTCATAACGATATTTTCGGCCGTAATCCCAATATCTCTCAAGATTCGGTCAGCTTAGGAGATTTAGGTTAGTCCTGAATACATATATTAAACAATGCAAAACAATCTTTATAATAAAAATATAATGATAAACAATAAATCAAAATAAAGTATTGTTATTCGATATACTAAATATTATAACCAATACTGTTAATGAAAGTAACAATAAAGGGAACTTAGGGAACACAGAAACACTAGCTGTCAGCTTAAACTACTATCATAGAAGCAAATTTCTTTGAAATACGTAACCTTAGTATAAAACTCTTGTTTTTTCTCAATTCCAACTAGCATCAAAAATTTCATTAAGCCATTGCTACTATCTAGTTTCAGAAACAAGCGACATTTTATGAAATAAATGTTGCTATTTAATCTGTGTTGAATTTGTAGCAATACATATCAGCTTACCCTAAAAGCATATTTTTAGCCATATTTTGGTAAATCTAAATCATGAAATGACCTAAGTAAACTCAGAAGCAGTCTGTCTGTGAATACGCCTTAAAGATGCTAACCTCTATAGCTAGGTTTAAGACCAACGTGAATCCAGAAACAACCTGCTTGTAAATACGTCTCATAGACGCTAAGCTGCATAATTAGGCTTAAGGTCAATGTGAACTCTGAAACAACGTGTCTATAAATACGCTTCAAGAACGCTAATCTCTATAATTAGGCTTAAGATCAACATAAACTCATAAAATACCTGTCTGTAAATACGCCTCAAAAACGCTAAGCTCTATAGTTAGGCTTAAGACTAATGTGACCTCAGAAACAACGTGTCTGTATATATGCTTCAGAAACGCTAAGCTCCATGATTAGGCTTAAGACTAACATGAACTCAGAAACAACCTGTCTGTTAATACGCCTCGGAGACGCTAAACTCTATAATTAGGCTTAAGACCTTCGTCAACTCAGAAGACACCTGTTTGTAAATACGCCTCAGAGACGCTAAACTCTATAATTAGGCTTAAGACCTTCGTTAACTGAGAAGATACCTGTCTGTAAATACCCCTCAGGGACATTAAGATCCATAATTAGGCTTAAGAAAGTAGAACTTCTTTTTGATTAAACATTCTTTGATTTGGTTTTGAGAGGCTGTCATCTCCTTTCCTATCACGTCTCGATAAAACTGTCCTTAGATTACATGCGTGAACACAGCGTTACACATTGTTACACATCGTAATGATCGATGAACTCCAGCTGTCTTCATTAAATCCATGTACTAGTGGAAAGTTAAAAAAAAGTATCAAAATGTGCAAGATTTTGCCCAAGGTAGTAAACTGTCTTGTTGTACGAAAAATCTGGCCTCAATATGCATATTTGTGACTATATGTAGGAATTTACCCGTAAAATTATGCCTCTCTTTTCTGCGCTGGAACAAGTAGAAAGCAAAGCCTTCACATATAACAGGCTCGTCGCTGACGAATATTGATTGGACTTTCTTTTTTTATCTCTTGTCGCCTGAGTAGCACCAGAGAGAGAGAGAGAAAGAGCGCACGCAGATATTCATTCCGTGATAGAATCACTACAGCGAGGAATCAGCGCTTCTCGGGCGTAGTGTGGTACAACATCGAGTGAAGACAGTTCGCGGATTCGTTCTCTTCAAGCAACCGTTACGACTCTGGTAATTTCTTTTTATCGGTTAATAAATCATTCGGACGAAGATTTTCCACTCCACACAGAAGCGAGTACATAGTATATCATAGGAAGAGAGTCCTGTGGCTTCTGCAGAGGAGAAGCAGCAGTGTCAGTCAGGTCAAGGACCCATGAGTGAACTGTGACGTCATAAAGCTAAACTGTTCTTTAAACGACAAGGCTAGAATCACGACAGACAGACAAGCGCAAGCATCCGCACGAGACTACCACGGTATCGGACAACAGTAAGTTTGTAATTTTAGTAGCTGTGATTGAGTATTTCATTTCAAAGTTTACGATCTTAGTAAATTGTAAAATATTTTAAACTTAAGTTGAAATAATTATTCTTAAGCGTATAAATAAGACTGCTGCATTATTTATGTTCAATATTAAATACTGAGGTTCAAGAGTAGTAAACAAAACGTGGCCATTTAAGTGTCTAGTGATTTAACATATACTGACGAACCCTACCGCCAAAAAAAGTTATAAAAATTTACGGAATAATTCTGTACTATTAGAGGATTCATAAAAACAACAATATTCTTAGACTGGCTTGTCTAAAGTCTAACTATTAAAGGATTCATAAAAACAACAATATTCTTAGACTGGCTTGTCTAAAGTCTAACTATTAGAAGATTCATAAAAACAACAATATTCTTAGACTGGCTTGTCTAAAGTCTAACTATTAGAGGATTCATAAAAACAACAATATTCCGAGACTCCTTGGTTTAGTATCTGACTACTACATCAGTCACAATGACAACAATATTCTGAGACTGATAGTTTAGTATCTGACTACTACATCAGTCACAATGACAACAAAATTCTGAGACTGATAATTTAGTATCTGACTACTACACCAGTCACAATGACAACAATATTCCGAGACTCTTTGTTTAGTGTCTGACTACTACATCAGTCACAATGACAACAATATTCCGAGACTCTTTGGTTTAGTGTCTGACTACTACATCAGTCACAATGACATCAATATTCCGAGACTCCTTGGTTTAGTATCTGACTACTACATCAGTCACAATGACAACAAAATTCCGAGACTCTTTGGTTTAGTATCTGACTACTGTTACATTATTCTGTGTTTACTGAATCCCTTGTTGTATTATCCATACTCTCTAAATCTCTTGTGGAATTTTTCACTCACTTTTGCATTAGCTAAAACAGACTTTGAAGTAATTTCTATAAGATACTATGTTCTGTCCTTTCACACTTCCCACATTCGAATTACTTTTAATAATGCTACACAAAGCGTGTCATTCAGAAAATTATTTTGCTTTGATTCAAAATTGTGTGCTTTGGCGGAAAATATGAGACTCGGTCTAATCTTGGATTTGTGGCAAATCCAAAACCAATCTGACCATCGTATTTTTTTCTTCTTTTTTTTTGCGTCAAAATAAACAATGTTATTGATAAACAATACACTCTTTCACAACATATATCCGACGAATTTTACTGAATAACTTTTCGTTTACTTTAGCAAAAAGCTACACAATAGGTTATGTGTGATCGGTCCATCACGAGGAATCGAACCCCGGATTTTAGGGTTGTAAATTCGTAAACTCGGGAACAAACCGAAGAATGAATATTAGAATTAATTTATATTCCTGTTGAGTTAGGTTCCTTGAGCGCTAAATAAATAAAACAAAAACATCATGAATATCATACACTGGATATAACCGTTAGATTAAATTTATTTCGGTGAGTTCTCAAGTGGATTTACACTAGAAAAATGTATTTGTTAATAACTTAGATTGAATACAAATTTACGCTTTGTTCTAAATGCTTTGACACGTGTTTCAAAAGAACGTATTAATTAATGTTGTAGCCCAGAGAACAAAGCGAAGAAGGAGAAGAGATGACAGAGAAATTATAAGTGGTTCTGTTTTTGTTTTTTTAACGTCTGTGAGTAACAACAAGAATTGTTCAATAATTTGAAGCGTGTATATAAGTATGTTAGTGAAAACGCGGATCGCCTTCAGTAAACAAACACTTTACTACAACTACACAGGTATAGAAACAATGCGTCACAAGGAACCCACAGAACCTTGCACTTCAAAAACTGGTGTTTTATGTCCTAAATTTCACAGTTTTTATTTCAACAGTTTGACAGTTTTCTATCTTAAATTAGACATCTCCGTTTCGACAATTTATACTCTAACTTAACAGCTTTATTACTTTTTGCACTCATAATTCAAAACATGTAACAAGAGTTACAGTCAGGGCTGTTGATTTATAGATTTACCAATTACACGAAGAAATACTTTTTTTTTTTAGATTTCTTTACAGATATACTCACCAGTACTCCTCTAACAAGCAATTCCTCAAAACTTGATCAACAGATATTGATTACTTCCCCTGGCGGTCTAGTTGGCAGTTACTACCGTAGATCGATTCGTCAGCTTTCCTGGATTTTTCTTTCTTATTTATTTCGTTTTACCTCAGGTACACAATTATAACTTAGCGGTCAATAAATAGAACGGAAACAGAAGTCACATATTTATGGATGGACAGACAAACTCACATATATTAAAACAAGTCAGACAAGTAGATAGAATATTCAACATGTTATGATGCACAGTAGGTTTTTACACGTATAACCATAACTTACAGAAGGTTTTTACATGTATAACCATAACTTACAGTAGGTTTTTACATGTATAACCATAACGCACAGTAGGTTTTTACATGTATAACCATAACTTACAGTAGGTTTTTACATGTATAACCATAACTTACAGAAGGTTTTTACATGTATAACCATAACTTACAGTAGGTTTTTACATGTATAACAATAACGCACAGTAGGTTTTTACATGTATAACCATAACGCACAGTAGGTTTTTACATGTATAAACATAACGCACAGTAGGTTTTACATGTATAACCATAACGCACAGTAGGTTTTTACATGTATAACCATAACTTACAGTAGGTTTTTACACGTATAACTATAACGTACAGTAGGTTTTTACATGTATAACCATAACTTACAGTAGGTTTTTACATGTATAACCATAACTTACAGTAGGTTTTTACATGTATAACTATAACGTACAGTAGGTTTTTACATGTATAACCATAACGTACAGTAGGTTTTTACATGTATAACCATAACTTACAGTAGGTTTTTACACGTATAACTATAACGTACAGTAGGTTTTTACCATAACATAAAATAGGTTTTTACATGTATAACCATAACTTACAGTAGGTTTTTACATGTATAACCATAACTTACAGTAGGTTTTTACATGTATAACTATAACGTACAGTAGGTTTTTACATGTATAACCATAACGTACAGTAGGTTTTTACATGTATAACCATAATTTACAGTAGGTTTTTACATGTATAACCATAACTTACAGTAGGTTTTTACATGTATAACTATAACGTACAGTAGGTTTTACATGTATAACCATAACGTACAGTAGGTTTTTACATGTATAACCATAACGCACAGTAGGTTTTTACATGTATAACCATAACGTACAGTAGGTTTTTACATGTATAACCATAACTTACAGTAGGTTTTTACATGTATAACCATAACTTACAGTAGGTTTTACATGTATAACCATAACGCACAGTATGTTTTTACATGTATAACTATAACGTACAGTAGGTTTCACATGTATAACCATAACGGACAGTAGGTTTTTACATGTATAACCATAACTTACAATAGGTTTTTACACGTATAACCATAACTTACAGTAGGTTTTTACATGTACAACCATAACGCACAGTAGGTTTTTACATGTATAACCATAACGTACAGTAGGTTTTTACATGTATAACCATAACTTACAGTAGGTTTTACATGTATAACCATAACTTACAGTAGGTTTTACATGTATAACCATAACGTACAGTAGGTTTTCACGTATAACCATAACATACAGTAGGTTTTACATGTATAACCATAACTTACAGTAGGTTTTACATGTATAACCATAACGTACAGTAGGTTTTTACATGTATAACCATAACTTACAGTAGGTTTTTACATGTATAACAATAACTTACATTAGGTTTTTACCAGAACCTTTAGGTTGTGACTGTCTAGATTTAGTCACCGTTTATAAAAACCTTAAACCGGTTTAGTCGTCAACGTGTGATCTATGAAAGACCATGAGAATCTTTCTGACTTAGTCGTCAACACTCGACAGATATTAATTTGAATTAATGTGTCATTTTTACTTAAACAGTATTTTCAATACTGAAACAACGGACATGCAGCTGGTCATCCCCACGCCAAATGTTGTGCTAATCTAATCGAATAGTGGGATTTGACTGTCACTCTTATGACGGACCCATGTCTTCTTGTAGGACGCGATTTGCGGCAACGGAACGCGAACTTTGGACCTCAAGTCATAGCCCGGCACGTTAGTCAATGTGCCACGCCTTCCATATTCAAAAATAAAGTTCTATTTTCCGTTTTAACCTTGGACCTTCATATATTATCATGTAACATGTGTAAACTAAACTTACCTTGGACCTTTATAAATTATCATGTCACATGTGTAAACTAAACGTACCTTGGACGTTTATAAATTATCATGTCACATGTGTAAACTAAACGTACCTTGGACCTTTATAAATTATCATGTCACATGTGTAAACTAAACGTACCTTGGACGTTTATAAATTATCATGTCACATGTGTAAACTAAACGTACCTTGGACGTTTATAAATTATCATGTCACATGTGTAAACTAAACGTACCTTGGACGTTTATAAATTATCATGTCACATGTGTAAACTAAACGTACCTTGGACGTTTTTATATTATCATGTAACATGTGTAAACTAAACTTACCTTGGACCTTTATATATTATAATGTAACATGTATAAACTAAACTTACCTTGGACCTTTATATATTATCATGTAACATGTGTAAACTAAACTTACCTTGGACCTTTAAAAGTATCATGTCACATGTGTAAACTAAACGTACCTTGGACATTTATAAATTATTATGTCACATGTGTAAACTAAACGTACCTTGGACCTTTATATATTATAATGTCACATGTGTAAACTAAACTTACCGTGGACCTTTATAAATTATCATGTCACATGTGTAAACTAAACTTACCTTGGACGTTTTTATATTATCATGAACTCGAAGGTTCTTGGTTCGCATCCCGATACCACAAAAGTAACTCTTCAAGGAGCTCTATAGAATGACATACTGTTGTCGGTGTCGTAAGTGAACTAG